CCCATGTGACAAGTGCTCACCTTTGGCTGGCTGGCCTGAAACTACTTGGCCCAAAGGAGTGACCTGCGAACAGGTTGTGTTCAGGACATTTGCTTGCAAGCCAAGAATTAGCTTTTAAAATGGCACTTGTGTAGTGGGGTTTAGATTATCTGTGATTCACATTTAAACTACTTTTATTTAATGGGGAATAAAAAGCCCAAGATAGTGCATCCCTGTTTGCATAATTTTTTTTTCCAAAAATGTATCAAGTTGGGATTCACTGGAGGAAGCATTTTGGCCTCACGGTCAGATGTCGTCTGGAATGAGTCTTTGAAAACATCAATTCCGGGGGAACAGCTGGGAAGCCACAGCTTCAGAGAGTTAGTGAGAAAGGGGGAGTTCTAGGCCTGCAAGCTGTGGGGTCTGTGGGCGGCTGACGATGTCACAGCCAGGAGGGGCAAGGAGGTGCTGTCTGGTGGCCACAGCCTGCACCGGCGAAACCTGGAGGGCATGGCTTGGACGAGGCCGCCCCGGTCCGGACAAGACCCACTGCTGGCAGGACACGGGTTTTGGGAAAGACCCTGGGATTATGCCGCTGTTTCCTGCCTGGTCCCTGGGAGTGCAGAGAACAAAGCCAGCTGGGGCCAGCCTGGTGGGGTCAGGGGGTGGCCAGGTTTGCCTAGAAGTGGAAGCTGATCCTGGGCTGTCCTGTATGCAGGGGCTCGATGGGGAGCTCTGTCGGGGCTGCTCTGACCTTCCCAGGCCCCGAGAGCCTCTCCAGAGAGATGTTATTTTGTTTTGCCAGTGAGCGCGGCCGCACGGGGCGGGGCCTGTACATGCTGGGCACTGCGCCCTGTCCTGCCCAGCGAGGGGCTGATACCCCTGCCCAGTGTATGTGCGGCCTGGAGGCAGGAATGGGCCCTTGGGGGACTCTCTGCTCTCAGCTGCACCCTCCCTGGCTTTCTGGGCCTCAATTTCCCCATCTATAAAGTGGGAGAGGTGATACGGTCCTATAGTTGTGAAGTTCAAATAACAGAATGTCACGATGCTTTCTTGTGGGTGAAGGGAATTTGGCGTCGCCTGAGGACTCAGATCAGCTGCTAACATTTTAAAAGAGAATTGCTTCAGCAGGCAGGGAGTTTTGTCGAAAGACCCAGATGAATCTTGGTGAAGGCAGGGGGGCTCCCAACCATCCCACACCATGGCACAGCATGTTCTCTTGTCCGATTTACGTGCCGACAGTCCCGGCTGGCCGGATTGGGCCGACGTGGGCCTCCCGTGAGCCTCCGGAAGTACAGAGCCTGCCTCTCCCCACCCTGTGCTCAACACCCCCACGCTGCCCTGAACCTCGCAGTCACATTCACCGGTGTCCCCCGCCCACCCCTGTGGGGACCTCACTCCCCTGCCCCTGCTCTGGGAGGATCCACTGCCAGGGTTTGGGGGAAGGTCCTTGAAGGCTGAGGGGGGTTCTGGAAACACATTCTTAGGTGAGGATGCCTGTGCGAGTCACAACCTGCTCTTGCTGTGGCCGGGGAAACCCGGAGCTGTCGGAGGTGGAAGGAAACAGCATTTCTGAGAAGATGACGGGGCCGGTGCTGTGGTCGGGGCGGTGCTGCCCTCCCCGTGCCAGGCTGGGTCTCGGGCCCCTCGCCGGGCCGGCCCAGCCTTTGCTGCACATACTGGAGCATGTTTAAAGATCAAAACGTTTCGCCAAATTACTTGCTTTCAGTTCTTTGGATGAGAGGCAATGAGGGTTAGCGCATGTATGATAAATTTGGAGGTGTATTTGGCACTCTGTTTGACGTGCCTTTTGAACGTGTGTCTGGCTGTGAGCAAAGCTGTTGGTTTCTGCCCCGCACGCTTCCGTATGCGTTATAGGATTGGAGTCTGTACCACACTTGGAAAGCATGTTTTAACATTTTAAAGTCTAGAGTTTGCCTCTTCTGATTGCTTTAAAAATATTAAAATCATCAAGTCTGCCCTTACGGGTGGGTGTGGTGTTTTCCCCAATGACAAACTGCCTCATTTTAAAAAAAGACACGGATATGCAAGTTAGTTATAGGACATTAGAAAATAGAGATCAGTTTAAGTCATCAAAGAACAAAAAAAGAAAAGACACATTAAAATCACCTAACTTCCATCCCCTCTGCACCCCAACACAGTTGCTGTTACATTGTGGGATGTGGTTTTCTAGGTTGTTACTGTCTTTTCAAATTGTGCTGTTTTATCAACCACTTTTTCCACCGACAGCATTGTGAACATCTTTTTTCTTTATCACATGTATCTACCTTACTATTTTTAGTGGCCACATGATGTAATATTATTTGGAAGTCCTGTGATTTATTTAATAAATCCTCTCTTGTTGTACATTTTGGGGTTTATTTTTTTGTTTTGGTCTAACATAAGTAGTGCTTCAGTGAATATCATCATCTTTTCATATTCATCCAGTTGTTTAAGTTTCTAAATGTGGAACTGATTGTCCAAAGGGTAGTCACGCCACCAGCATTTGTTATTTGCTGCAAGTACTCAGGGAAGGCTGTGCCATCCTTCCAGCCATCCACCCAGCCATCTGTCTTCCCACTCACTTTCCTTCCTTCCTTCCTTCCTCTCATCCATTCAACTGTCAGTTTATCCATCCACCCATCCATTCACCCACCCACCATCCAACCATCCACCCAACCACCCATCCACCCACCTGTCCTTTCAGCCACCTATCCACCCATCCACCCACCCATCCATCCAGCCACCCATCCACCCATCCACCCAACCACCCATCCACCCATCTACCCATCCACCCACCCATGCACCCATGCTGTACCAAGGACCTGCTGAGTCAGGCCTGGGTGGGCCCTGGGCAGCAGACTGCAGCAAGCCCATGGTCTTCATTCTTAGAACTCACACTCAGCTGCGGGTGGGGGGAGGCAGGAAGTCAGGAAACCATCACCAGCAGGTTAGCAGCACAAGTACGGAGGTGCTGCAGGAGGCAGAGGCACCGGGACGGGCAGTGGCTTGGGTAGGTTTTGGCTACCCCCTGCCTCTGCTCAGGCCCAAGTAGAAATGCACCAGTGAAGTATCAGCCCCAAAGATGGGGGTGCAGTCACTTTTATCTGCCAACCTTGGGGAGTCTGTGAGGTTCATTGCGGCCCAGTCTGTGACTGCAGAAACGCGGGGACACTTGGAATGTCTTTCTGGGCAGGAATAGACAGGGAACCGCGGTTATTCACACAAAGGGCACCAGGCAGTGGGTAGAGCTCAACAGATCTGCGTTGTCACCTAAATGCGTTTCAGAAAACGTGTCGAGGGGAGTAGAGTTGCACAAGCTGCCTTGAGGTCAATGATAAAGACGCCATGTAGTAGCGGCCCCTTCCCTGGATGCACACGTGAGAAGTGACAACACAGAGAATGCGTCCCCACACCTGGGGGCTGCAGCTGTCTCTGCGATGCCTTTCCAGGAGGGACATGTCCACATCTGCCCAAGCAGGGTGGGTGTAGGTACACAGTGTCTGTGTGATTAGTTATGGCGTTTTTGGAAATATTTTACCATTATATGTTGAAAATTTTTAAAAAAGAGGGAGGAATTATAAAATCATTTCTTAAAGATCTTTCATTCTGAGAACCCTTATTTTGTGGTTGTGAAGAAATGCAGTTTAAAAACAGTGCCAGGATGGCTCCCCCAGACACTCACCCGGGATGCTGTGGTCAGGAAACATCCCTGCCGGGGGTCCAGATGCCGGGGCAGGGCTTGGAGCAGCTGGGCCAGGTCCTCGCCACCCAGCAGGGAGGGCAGGGGAGGCTCCGCAGACCTGCCCACAGCCCCTCTGCCCATGGGACCCTCCGGGTGACACCCTCCTCCTGAGAGAATGCAGGAAACAGGAAGCTGAGTTAGTGAACTTGGGAACCAGAACTTAGAAAAGAAGCATGTTTTAAATAGAGAGGAAACAACCACTATTTTGAGTTTCCTATTTATATATCCCGGCCCCGGGAGGCAGGAGGGCACAGGGCTGTCTGGATCTTTGATTCTGCCTTTGCTTCTAGGTGGCTAAGCAGACCTGGGTGTCACGAGTACCTGCAGGTCCTCTGACGCTCGCCTCGACTTTCCCAGGCAGCAAAGGTTTCCAGGAATGTCCTTTTGATGTGGTCAGGGCAGGAAGGAAGCTACCCTTGGAGCATCGCAACACAATACGCTCCCTACCTGGGGTCTCCAGCCCCGCTGTTGGAGCCCTCGGGGCCACCTGCTCCCCAGTGGTAGTTGCTGCATCTCAGAAGTGTGTTCTGGTTGCAGGCCCGGCACAGCAGAGGGTTCTGGGACAGGTGCACCTATCCTTTGCGATCAACAGGTGCCAGCTTGGGGGTGCCATCTCCTCCTCACTGCCCTGGGATCTGTCTGCATTGTCCATTCCACATCCACATTTAGAAACCTGAATGGCCGGGCTGCCGGGTGCACAGCCTGCGAGAGTCAGCCTCGCCGGCTTCCGCGGCGGCTCGAGCCGTGGACAGGCCTGAGCTTTCTGCCTAGAGGCAAGAACCTCATCTCGTTCCTGCATCCAGAGTCCCGGGACACTCCTTTGAGGAAAAGTGTTCTCCCTGAAAAAAAGAAAAGTAAAAAGCACGTCGTCTGATTGTCCTATCATAGTAGAATCGTATTTTCTGACATGAGAAACGTTCACAATCTATTGTTACTTTTGTTTTTTGAAGTGGAGCCCAAAACAGTGTATAGTGTGATCCCCTTTCTGTAAAAACCAAAACAGCAGACACATCTGCGCACAGAACAGAAGTGGGTCGGGAAGGTTGTGGGCTGAGGGCTGGCGGCGTTTGTCTCCCGACAGCGGGGTTATGAAGGATTTTAATTTTCTTCTTCTCTCATGGCGTTTTCCGTTTTTCCTGGTGACTGTGAACTGATGTGAACGAGACTGTGAGTTGGTGGGCGTACAGCTTGCGTTTTTCCATGTCAAGTTAAGGGAGGCGGCTTCAAAGCGCCAGTGCCTCCTGCAGTCACCAATGTGTCGTGTCTTGTCTTTCAGTGACATATTCGACGCCATGTTCCCCGTCACGCACATCGCTGGGGAGACCGTTATACAGCAAGGTATGTTCTGCCTTCTCCTCTGAGCCAAAGCCCGTGGGGGAAAATGGACTATGCATTTAAAAATATATATTAGCATAAAACCTTCACCGTCTATCCTTGAGAAAATTGACTAATGAAACTCAAGACCAGTCTGTTTAACAAGTTAACTCAATATGTTTCCATCATCTTGTCGTTAAAAAAAACTGGTGGGACCCAGGGTCTGTCTTGGTGACGGTCTGTAAGACCGTGTTGCAAAAGTTGTTTGCAAAAACAAAAACGACTGTAACTTATGTGTCTTGATGTACTACTGCGTTATACATCTGTTGTCCTTTTTCTTTTATTACAGGGAACGAAGGGGATAATTTCTACGTGATTGACCAAGGAGAGGTGGATGTGAGTATCGCTCGCTATCTTTGGAAAATTCCACGTCTTTCCAGGTCCGGCTGGAAGACTTGACTCTCGGTGCAGCACTAGGTCGCTACCGAGCTCGGGTCTACAAACTCTTCTTTCCGAGTGATGTTTCTAATGTTTTGGTCCAGAGTGGCAGCGCGCGCCATTTAAGGGATACTATAAAAATATCGGCAGCGTGGTATGGAGTGAGGGCGGTGGGCAGCAGGTGCGGGCTGCAGCCGCTGTTCTCGTTCGACTTATGCTGCGCGAATGCTGCACACGCACCACCCACATTAGGTGCTAATGCTCGTGCTTACAGACCCCCCAGGTCTACGACCAGGCGACCACTGCCTTTTCTGCCCAGTGTTCTGATCCATCAACTCAAGGCTCCCAGAACATTGGTTTCTCCTGCTTGCATCTGTCTCAGGAGTGAGGGACCCACACTTTTATCCAGAGGCTCCTGCTGTTGCAAGAAGAGAAGCTTCCCCTCCTCGGGAGACCCCACCTTGGGCTCTGGGGCTGAAGCCTTGGGCTTCTTCTGTCTCTCCAGCTGTCAGGGTCAGGGTCCCTTGCTGGGCTCCTGCCCTGCAGGCTGCTGTCCACGCGGCACCAGAGACCTTGGTTGTGCGGAGCTGGTTGCACCCATTTCTTGATGAAATCCTCTGTGGGTTTGTCTCTCTCTGAAATAGGCGTGAGCCTCTGGCGTGATGGGCAGGAGGGGCCCGAGTGACCCTGTAGTTCCCAGATCCTGGAATCTGCCTGGTACTTTGCTGCCCCACGGCCTCTGTCTGTACTGGGACCCCCACCCCACCCTCGGCGTCATCACCATTTGCTTCTCCTCGGTCTCTGCTTAATTGTCACTGGTTGCCAGTGGACACATCCTGCCTCCCAGCTTCTCCGTGGCCGCTGCCTGCTCCCACCATAGGCTGCAGCACAGTTCATCAGGCCCTTATTCCTGTGACTGTTTCTGTCTCCTTGACAGGCTGGAAGCCCTAGGCATTTCGGGGTCCGTGAGGCCTCAGACGCTTGCGTGGGCTGGCCCAAGTCACCTCTGGGTCTGGGAGGCCGACACAGGGCCCCATGCCCTTCCCCGCACCCCCAGCTGCCGTGGGGCGAGCTATTTCAGGGCTTGGCCTCGCGCTCTGTGCCCCTATCCAGTCCCGGCTATTTCAGGAGGGCATTTACTCATCTCCCCGGCAGCCCGTCTGCGTCCCCATTGCCGCCGCACTTCTGGGAACCCGAGCAGACCCATTCCGCTTCCGGAGCTGCCAGCACAGGAAATGACTCACGGTTCCCACCTCCCGCGAGGGGCACGCGCAGAACAGCCTGAGACCCGGCCAGAGCAGGCAGAGAAAGTCCAGGTTTCTCTTGACCGTGGCGCACCCTTTCCTGAGCTGGAGCCCACAGGCTCGGCCTGGGCCGGGCTCTGGGCAGACCTTCGCGTGGGGGTGGGTGTGCACCTGTCTCCCCTAGGGAAGGAAACTGAGGCAGGAGCCAAAAGACCCAGGGGTAGCCCGGGCCACAGAGGAAGTGTGGAGGAAGGACGGCAGGCAGGCGGGGCCGTGGTTCTGACCCTGGGCTCAGCTGCCCAGCTAGCCACAGAATCATCTCCTGTTGGCTTCGCTTCGGGTTTAAAAAAAAACCAACCCAGGAAATAGAGAAGACAGAGGAGGATGCGGCCAGCGTCCCAGCCGGGCCTGTCCCCGGGCCTGAGACTGTCCCAGTAGGTGCTGACACCCAGGCCTGGGGGGCGGTGCTGGGAGTCGGCTCAGCCTCCAGTGGACTGGGTGGGGCTGGCCCAGGGGTGGGGAGGCCAGGGCTGAGGTGAGGGGCAGGGATGGCTGGGGGGAGCCGCAGGGTGGCCTGTCTCCAGTCCATGTCCATGACCCTTCCACCTATTTATGGCTCCTTTTCCACCACACACTCTTGGCCCCCAATTGATCAGGATTCTGTAACCTCCCCTCCCCTGCCTCCTTCTGGGTGTTTGTTGAGTGCTGGTGTTGTACCTGGTGTTGCCTGGCCCTGAGCGTATACTCATGATGGCAGGATGCGGCCCTGCCCTGAGTCCGGGGCTCCAGCTTGATGGGGGAGATGCTCGGGGAACAGGAAGTTGGCAGAGGCACGTCTCAGTGGCCCCCATCCTCTCTGTTCTTGTTCCTGCTCTGCCTGCCAAACTCCTATGCATCCTTCAAGACCCCAAAGGGCTCAGCCCATCTGTCTGCTGCCCAGCTCTGATGAACGCTGAGCTCAGCTAGTGACCGAGCACTGGACCCCCAGCCAGACTGGGCCCCATGGGTCTTGGCTTGGCCTTTCCTTCCCCCTCTTCTGTGTTCACAAAATGGTGCAAATCTTCTAATTCGATTCCAAAGACATTGCCCAAGTGCCAATTGTGTCATCAGAGCTTAGAGCAGAAATGAGGAGCTGAGGTGGCCCCAGGGTGTTCTGAATCTACGTGCTTCCTCCTCCCGACAGAACACGTGTGGGGAGGGCCAGCTCTCTGCCCAAATGCTCTTGTGGCACCTGCAAGGCCCAACCTGGGGCCCAGGACCTGCTCCTTCCTGACCCGTGTAAGGGGACACAGTGGAGGAGTCAAAGCTCTGTGTGGACAGGGAGGCCTTGGGCTTCATCCTTTGCCTGGCAGGTTTCCTGGGCCCAGGTCCCCAGAGCTCACAGACGGCGGGAAGAGTAAATGGGATAATTCTCTCAAGTGCCATCTGCTGTGCCTGGTGTGGGGAGGGGGCTCTGTCTGTTGTTCTCTGCCCCCCTATTCCCGCTAATGCACCTGTTCCCGCTAATGTACTTGCCACCTGCTGGCCACCATAGTGAGCAGAACACCCCCCGCCACCCCGTCTCATGTCCATAGCACACGCACCTCTAAGAGCCTTCTCCCCAGCAGAGGAAACGCCCTCCATCCATGCCCCAGGCCCAGCCTAATCCCAGGAGGGGTGAGGACAAGAGAGGCTGGCGTCGCTGTGCCCTGGGCCCAGTGGGCATGGGACTGCCTAGGGGACTGTCCTGTAGGCTGGCTCAGGGCCCCAGGAGCAGAGCAGGTGCTGTCCTGCCCACCCTGGAGCCCCCAGGCCTTGATGCTGGCTGTCCCTGCTTCTCACGGAGCCCCTGCCTACGCACTCTCGCCTCTTCTCCCCACCTTCATTGCAGGACAGCACCCCCGGGCAGACTGTGACCCTCCTTCACAAGCTGACCTCCCCCTTTCCCCGGGCTGTGAGCTCCTTCAAAGCAGGGCCCTACAGCCCCTGGAGACTGCCAAGCCCTTGGCACCGTGGGGGTCTGGGCAGTCACCCCGTCTTCCTGCAGACGCCCGTCCCATGCTCCAGGCACAGGGCTGCGGCTGGCTCCCCTCCAAGCCCAGGGACGTGTGGAGGCAATTTTGTGAAGGGAAAGAGTGAAGTCACCCCATGTAACTGGAGTTCCCCAAATATATTGTCCTGGCAGATCCAAGCACCCCCCACGGCCCTTCCCCTCCCGGGCCGGGCCACAGGTTCAGGTACAAAGGCTGCCTTAAGCCCCTGGCTGGACCCCGGCTGTAGTGGGCGGGATGTCTGGGCTCTGTGGGCGGATGCCTGCTTCCTGGCTACAACCTCAATTGGCACAGTCGGGCCCTGAGCCCCCGACGGCTCAGGCTGTGACTTATGGGCTGTCCGTGAGTGGGTGTGCCGGGCCCTCGCTGCCTGGCCGCGGCAGGAACGCCAGGCACCTTCATCAATCTCCTTAGATCCCAGCCGGACGGGGTGGGCGGCAGGGAGTGCCCGTGGGGCCTGGCGTGGAGGGTGCTCCTGTGATGTGGGCGGCCCCTCGTGTGCAGGGTAAACACGCGGGGTAGCGTGGGTGAAGGCCACATTTAAAGGAATCAAAGATGCTCAGTAAGGAATCTGGAAGGAAAAAGTGGCATGTTGGGTGGCTGGGGTGAGTTATGGGACATACATTACAATAATTACTGTTATTACTGTTCCGGGTGGAATCGCGGCAGCCCCGGGCAGCCCCGTCAGGCCCCGTGTCTGGGAGCCCCGCGGCCGCATTTTGTTTGCTCATTTTCTGTAACTTGCCTTCCCTGGGGCGGTGGGATGGATTGCCCAGGACGCGGAGGACAGCGTTCAAGGCTCCGTGACCCTGGCTTTGCTGGGGGTGGAGGGAGGAGAGGGATGGTGGCCACGGGCGTCACTGCCTCAAATGCACTCCCTCTGCGGACCCTGCCCCGGCCCTTCAGATGGTGGGCCTGGGCGTGGCTTCCTGCGCACCCTCCCCTCCAAAGGATGGACACTGCCCTCTGACCAGCGGCGCCCCAGGGTGATGGCCAGGTGACCAGATGCCAACAGCACCGGGTTTGGTTTAAATTATGGTTTTCCAGAGAGTCTGAAAGTGCCTGCCGCAGTATGCGCGTTGCCAAGAGCTATAATCCATTTTTCTAAGTATAAAAATATCTTCCAATTTATTTTATTCGTGGAACATAGCATTTCTACTTAAAAGGACACTCAGCTGTGGACTGTAGGGCTCGGAACCTAGTTCCGTTTCCAGCCCTGTTTGAGGCCTGATCCTTCCCGACTGTTCTTAGGCCTTTGTTACCCGAGGCCTCGGCCTGTGCACCCCGAGGCGGTGGGGGGGCTCTCCTGTCCCTGCTGGCTGCAGGGTTCCACCTCCCTCCTGTTTAGTTTCACACAGAATGTCTGGGGGCTCCAGAGGCTGGGGGGAGGTGCCACCCTCGGCAGCTTGGGGCCCCCCGCCAGGAGCTGGGCCTGTGGTCAGGGCCCGTGGTGCTTTGTGTGTGTTTCAATGGTGGCAAACCACACACAGCATTTATCATTCTAGCCATCGCAAAGTGTTCGGGGCATTAAGCACCTTGTATGTGCAACCATCACCAGTGTCACCTCCAGGACTCTGTCCCCACGAAGTCCTAACCCCACACCCTCCCCAGCCCCTGGCACCCCCATCCTGCTTTCTGTCTCTGTGAGCTTCACTCCTGTGGGGCCTGCAGTGCCTGGAATGATGCAGGATTTATCTTCCGTGCCTGGCTTTCTTCACTGAGTATAATGTCCGCAAGGTTCATCCTCACTGGACTGTGTCAGAATTTCCTTCCTTTTTAAGGCTGAGTAATAGTCCATCGTGTGCAGATACCACTCTGTGTTTATCTGTCGTAGACACTGGGGTGCTTCTACCTTTGGCTGCTGTGACCGTGAGCATCACTCTGTTCTCAGGGTGCTGCGTTTTAATGTCATTTATCTGGTGCTGTGTGACCTGTGGTCCAGAGCTGCAGCACCTGGGGGTCTTCCAGCATCACTTCACCCATGAAAAGCGCCCAGGGGCCCCACACAGCCCTTTTTGTTCTCTGCTGAGGTCCTGGTAGCCGGCTGTGGGCACAGGCCGTGTTGGCGCAGCCTGCTGGGCTGTGCCTGGGGCTGGGGAGATGGGCCTGGAGCCTCCCCACACGGCCGCTTGTGGTGTTGGGTGAGGCTGGCAGGCCCCATGCCCGCAGCTCTCCCGCGCTGCGCCCAGAGAGACCCCTTGGGATTCATTTTCAGGAGGAGCAACTGAGTTTAAGGAGGGTCCACAGGGAGGTCAGATTTGAGTTCAGGGTCTCCGCTAAATCCTGCCTTTTGGGGCCTCGTTCTGTGTCAGGTCTGGGGGGAGACCGGGGCCACGGTGGATTGGGAGCCACCCAGAGGAGTGGTCTAGGTGCACCCACGGAAGCCTCGCGGCGGGGGGGCGTGATGGGGTGGCTCCAGCAGCAGAGGCAGACACGGCAAGCCCCCTGGGCTGACGCAGGCTGAGGCGGGGCTGGGGTCAAGGCGGGAAGTGCAGCGTGAGTAGGAGTGGAGAGGGGCAGGTGGCTAGGCGGTGGGCACACAGGTGGCAGTGGGGACGCTGGCCTGCCTGGACCCAGTGCCGACCTCCTGCTGTCTGTGGGAGCCTGGGCAGGATGTAGGAGAGGGACCGCTGGCCTCTGCTTAGCACTTCACGAGGCACAGACAGCAGCCTCGTCACAAGCTGCAACCCGTCCTTGCCCGGCCTCAACAAGTCGGCTCGGCGCTGTCATGGTGGCCTGGGCACCCCAGCGGCTAGACCCTGCGACTCGCCCGGTTTCGGAGGTGAGCATGGCCAGGTGGGGTCCCAGCACTGGTGGGACTCCTGTGGCCCTTGGGGCCCCACTGCTGTTATGCAGGCACTGAGGCCACCCGGCCAGTCCCCTGTCTGTCTCTGCAGCCATCCCCTGCTGTCTGCACAGTGCTGCTCAAGCTTGTGTGCGTTATCTGCTGAAATAGAGTCAGGAGTCAGGTAGGCCCAGGAACCTGCATTTGTACCTGGCTCAGGGATGCGGCACAGCTGGTCCCCCAGGGTCTCCCCCCTCCCTGCCTGCACCCCTCTGGCTGCCTGGCTGTCCCCACCTGAGCCCAGGAAGCTTTGCCTTCCCACTGCCTTTAGGAGGAACACCAGGGCCCTTCCCTCCTCCCAGGCTTTTGAGACAGGCCCCTCTCCTGCCGCGTTTGGCGTCTGCCCCAGCCCGACTCCTGCTGTACCCACTGCCCCCAATTCAACCCTGCCCCAGGGCCTTGGCACGCGCTGTCAGTCTGCCTCCAGCCCTCTCCCCACACGTCTTCCTCGTCCAGCCAAAACTCCCCCAGGAAAGGTCTGATCTGAACAGCCTCCAGCTGCCCTTTCCCCTGACTCTGCTTACCACTGTCTCCCTGGGCCTTCGGGGTTCACAGTGAGCATGTGTTTGTGCTAGCATTAGCCTGCAGCCAGCCTCGCTGCCGCTGCCGGTCAAGCACGTCCCCTGGGGACAGGAATTCTCCCCAGCGTGGAGCTGTGCCAGATGGGGTGCTCAGTCAGTGCTGAGGGGATCAGTGGAGGAGGGGATGCAGAGTGGCCGGTGGGAGCTCAGTGAGAAACCACAGTCCATGGCAGGGCATAAATGTAGCCCCAGGGGCCTCTACCATTTTTATTTTAAAAGAAGAAGAAAACACAAAAATGAAACAAAACAAGAAGTAGCCCCTTTGCGTACCAGCTGGGGTGGGGTCCGCGCTGCGTGGAGCGGTGACAGAGGCCAGTGTCCCAAGAAGGATGGCCCTTTGTCCTCTGGGGCCAGTGTGGCCCTGGGCCGTCCGCAGGGGCTGCACAATGGCTTTCTCTGACGCCGCAGAGGGAGCTCTCGGAGGCGGAGGAAGGGGGTCCTTACGGAAGGGCGTCCTGAGCCCGCTCCGCTTGGTCTGGCCCTGCAGCAGCGGACCCTCACTCCTTGGGGATATGCCCCAGCAAAGTGGGGGTGCAGCTGCCCAGGCTGGCTCTGCTGAGATGCACCCTCCTCTGTTCTAGGAGTCTCTGTGCTCTTTGGCAGGTGGTGGGGTGTCCCGCCCCTTGCCTGGGGCCGCCATTCCAGGGGATGGCTTCCTCAGTCCCCTAAGGTGCAAAGCGGAGAGCCATGCCCATGCCCCCGGGCACACGCCGCCTGCCTTCCTAGATACTCCTGTGTCAAGCAAACCTCCCAAACCCCTGAGCCCACGCTGCTTTCACGACTCAGCAAGAGGTCTCGGATTGGAACAGAATGTGGTGGGTCCTGGGGGTGCTGTGGGTGCAGCTGCTGGAGAATGGGGTTGAGCAACCCCAGCTGAGACTGAGCCAGCAGGTGCCCCCACCCAGGCAGCTCAGGCCTACCCAGGCGTGAGTCACATGCGGGGATGCTCAAGGCATGTGACACATTAGGGCCTGAAGTCCGGCACCCACAGACAGCACGAGGCACAACAGGGTGAGCCTAGGGTTCCGTAGTGAACTTGAGTGGCTTTGGGGAGGGTCATCTGGAGTTCCTGGAGACCCCATCCAAGCAGTGTGACGATGCACTGAGCTGCACCCTAAGAGTCGTGCATGTCGATGGTCTCGAGTTGTCCTTCATGAACAATTTTCTACAACAATGCAGGCACAGTGGGAGTGTCGGCTGTGAGACGGGGGCCTGGCTGTGCCCAGGCCACCGACTGCCATCCCCAGGCGTTGGGTCCCCTGCGAGAAACAAGAGGCACATGTTCCAGAGGATGTGCTTCTGAGGTCCCTTCACCCCAAAAACTCTGGGATGGCAGACCCTCCCTCCACGTGTCCCTCTGTGTCTGGGGGGGGACACACCCTGCTCCTGGGAGGACACTTGTCTCCTGGAGCCTTGAGGGGCATGGAGGGACGCTGCGTTTCTCCTGCCCCGAGGCCAAGCTGCTCAGCCTCCCTCCGGGAACGCGGAGCCCAGGCTGGCCGGGTGGGGGCCACAGACTCCGCAGGGGACTGTGCTCGGCACAGCTGCCCTCTGTGTGCTGATTCGGGAGTTATCACCTGCGTGGCGTTTTCTTCCAGATAGAAAACTCTGTGCATCGGTTCTTACCCAGATAATGAGTCATTGATTTCAGTAAGAATCGACTTATTGAATGATTCATGGCCACCCATTCTTTCCCGATACGCACCCAATGGGAACGGTTTTGCCAATGGGAACTATTCTTCAAGCTCATTGACACAGGGAGGGATAAAGACTGAATTGTGTCGAGTCATAGTAGCCAGATCTGCACCGTCCCTGCATAATGAACAATCTGCACCATTCGTGCACGGATGCGGCCGTGCGCGGTCAGTGCATAGTGGCACGCTGTGCAGGGCGTCGGCCCTTGGGGCCTGAAAGGGAATCTTGTCCTGGCCCCTTCCTGGCCCCACTCGGTAGCAGGACCCAGCTGGAGGGCTCCCGTCCACACTCCAGGCCCGAGGAGCTTGGGTGCTGCCCCTGGGGAGGGAAGAGTTTGCCCCTGGGATGGTCGGCTTGGCTCCTTGGGGCCACAGCAGCATGTACGGGGGGACAGGGGACCGGGGTCCTCAGGGTTTCTTGGGGGCGGTAGGAGACGAAGGGGCAATGGGTGAGTGGAGAAGGCAGGGTGGGGTGCTCATCAGACTCTCGGCACATGTGAGGGACAGAGCGCCAGGGCAGGTGCCACGTGGAAATCGCAGGGTCCCGCTCACTGGTGCGCAGCCAGGGCGCTAAGTCTGAGAGGCTGAGTCCAGCGTTGACGAGGAATCCACTTGAAGGCTGCTGCGGGGCACCTGGGATGCTGGGATGCAGATTGGGCTATGTCCACCCGGGTCCTGGTCTGTCCCATCGGCCACGGGAGCCTCCTGCCTCAGGGGCGACGCCCTCCGGCTGCAGCTCTGAGCAGATCTGTGGGTGAGGCGGGTGCCTTGGTCCATGCGCACGCTGGCCTCCCTGCAGCTCCAGGGCGGGGCGTGGGGACTTGGGCCCACAAGGGAGGGGCTGTGCCCCTCCGTGCAGGGACCCCTGGGTGGGAAGCAGCCAGTGTCCCCCACACGTGACGTTTCTCTGTCCTGCTCTCCAAAGGTGTACGTGAACGGAGACTGGGTGACCAGCATCAGCGAGGGAGGCAGCTTCGGGGAGCTGGCGCTCATCTACGGCACCCCCAGGGCCGCGACCGTGAAAGCCAAGACAGACCTCAAGCTCTGGGGCATCGACCGCGACAGCTACCGGCGCATCCTCATGGTGAGTGGCGCCCTGGCCACGGGAGGCTTCCCAGGGCCGGGGAGGGACCCGGCTGTAGGAGGAAAGACATTTCCTCCTCCTGGTAGGTTCAGCCCATGAGAAGGGAGGAGAGATGGGAGGGTTCTCAGAGCATCTGAGAAGGCAGACAGACGGCCGGGGCACAAAGCCCTTCCCCAGGGTGGTGGAGCAAAGCTCGCTGCCGACGCAATGGGGCCGGCTGCACCGTTCCCCCGACTCCCTGTGTGTGGGGTTTGGCCCTGGTACTTTCAGATTTTGTCTGACATGTAGCCACATCTGCTCTTAGTGTACTCTGCACAGTGGGAGAGTGTGTGTGTGTGCACATGCGTGTGCATGACTGTGCATGTGTCCACCCACCACGGGGCAGCTGGGGCCATGGGCTGGTCCAGCTCTCTGGCAGGGCCTCACAGGGGGCTCCTGGGATGAGCTCGTGCACCAAGAAGGTCCCTCCCAGGGAGGGAGCCCCCCCATGCTCTCCCTGCACACGGACTAGGTGCCGGCACTGTTCCAAGTGCTGGTCCCTCAGGCAGCAGAGAGGCTGGTGTCCCAGTGGAGGGGCAGACAGCGTGCACACAGCCTCAGGTGGTGACAGTCCTGGGAGAAAAATGAGGCAGAGAGGAACGAAAGTGGGCTGAGGGGTAGGGAAGGGGCTGCTGTTTTATAAAAAGGCTTAGAGACCCCCTTGATAAGGTGACAATGTGAGCAGAGGCCAGAGCACCACAGGGTTGTCCAGGAGCAGGGCAGGCAGGGAAACAGCAAGTGCAAAGGCCCTGGGGCGGGGCTGCTGGGAGCGTTTGTGGGCAGTGAGGAGACATTTGTGGTTGGGGGATGCAGCACCTGCCCAGCCTGTGGGCCCACAGCCTTGCAGGAACCTCACCCCCACTTGGAGCACCCAGAGCCACTGCAGGAGCTGGAGCTCAGGAGTGACAGGAGCCAGTTGCACCCAGCCCTCTGGGCCGGCCTAGGGCCACCCCAGCCAGGGCAGAGCAGCCTGGGGAGAGTCATCCAGGGAGGTGCTGGGCCTGGCGGTGCTGGGCTGGCCACCCTCTCATGGTCTCGGGCCTCATCTGCAGCCCCCGCTTTCCATTGCTGGGCAGCGGCCACGGGGCAGCGCCCCGACCTCAGGCAGCTCCTCAGCTCTCTGCGCTCAGCCTGCAGTGACCGCCTGGCCAGGAGCTCGTCCGAGGTGGCCAGAGGGGACCCAGGAGGACCTGGGCAGCCCTGGGAGAGTGTTTGCTCAGAGCCATTTCCTGCGGGGCCTGGGAGGTGCCCAAGGGAGGCACGTTACCAGGAGACCTTTGGCCTCTCCTCCCCTGCCCTCCCTGGGGTGGCCCCACACCCAGGGGCTGCCCCCCTGCTCCATGCCCGAGACCAGCCAGTGGCAATGGCGGGAGGTGGTGGCTTGGTGTCGAAGGCCCAGAGTGCAACTTCTAAGGAAGGGCTGGGGTTTGGGGTGTTTGAGGAGGAGGCCTGGGCAAGTCCCCGAGCCTGGTGTAAGACAGGGCCCTACAAGCTTGGGGACGATTCCAGCCTCGGGAGCATGGCGACCACATGGGAAATGGGGTTGCTGGACGGGAGGGGCAGGTCTGCAGTAACGTCCAGCTCTTTCTTTCCCGCGTGGCTCAGCACAATTTCCGGGGCAACTTTCTCACCCGGCCCCGAGCTCCATGAGCTCTGCATCATGCCCTCATGGAGCACTAATGGAGCGCCTGCTGTGTGCCAGTGGCTCCTGCATGGCCGTGGATACACCAGGCACAAAGCATACGACCCTGGGCCCCCGAGGGGATTCCGTGGAGCCCAAGTTCTCTCTCTTCTGGTCTTAAACAAGCTAAATCCTGTTTTCACCCAGAAACTGCTCTGTCCGCCAGCCTCCCCTAGAGAGGGGCCAGGGTGGTTTGGAAGCTCAAAGAGGACACAGCAGTTCCTGCCCCCACTCCCCAGCACACCTGGCCCCCGGGTTGCATAAGCCGCCGGTTCCCTGCCCTCCGATGCTGTGCCATTCCTGGCTGTGGGATTTTTGTGGCTGGAACCTTATATTCAGGGAAGTTCCCAAACCACCGAGGGAGCTGGCGCTTCCTCTGTTTTAATTTTGGATTCTTCTGCGCTAAGAATAGCCAGAGGGCCTGGCTGGTTTGGAGGGAGCGCCTTGCAGGACGGGTCTGTGTCTGCATCAGCCCTTAATCTGGGCAGATTTGACGCGTCCGTCATGCTAGGAGTGTTCCCGCTGCGAGTCCACTTAGCGTGAAGCTGGGGCTGCCGTGGGGGACACTGGAGGTTCCTCGATGTCCACGTCCTCCCTCCACCGCTCCATGTTTTATTGGGGGAAGGACAGGGCTTCCAGGCAGGGGCCTCGAGTGTGGCCGGCGCTCACTAAGCTTCTTTCTTTTATGCTTTGAGGTCTGTTTACCCTGAGTCTTGCTCAGGATCCCGTGTCCAGAGCTAACAAGTGTAGGACTCCATGGTAGAGGCTGTGCCGCAACATCCAGAGCCCACCTGCCTTGGGCAGCCCAAGACCCCTTGGAATCTGGGTCCTTAGCAGAGGTTGGACCCTCCCCTCCCTCATCCCCGCCGACCGGTGAGGCCTCATGGGGTGTCCTGACGACTGGGCACAGCCACTGGGGGCTGGGAGGGGAGGCTGTTCCTCTGCTTTTGAGCACAGGCAACTCGGCTTGGCGACCTTGACGCCACCACTGGGGGCTCCTTCTGGTCCCCTGAGCCAGGGCCTGCCCCTCTGTATCTCAGGCAAAGTCACAGCAGCCCAGGGGGACCAGGCACCCCCACTCAGGAGCAAGGATGCTGAGGCCGAAGGGACTGTGGGGCTGCAGAGGGTGTCCACTCAGAGGGGCCACAGAGCTGAGACCCCACCTGGCCTGCTGGCCCCTTCCTGTCTGAGAATCACCTTCCCCTCTTGCAGGCCCTGGGCCCCACCAGACCCCACAGTGGTGCCCTCGGACTGAAGTCGCTGACCCCACAGCTGCACAGAAGCCAGGGCCGCTTCCCATCGTGGCTTTGGTGCGAATCTTTGCTCATCCCGGCTCTGAAGCATCAGGGAGGGGCAGTTTGGAGCCCTCGAGCTGTTTGCTGGGAGGCTCGGGTACTACCAGTCACTGTGCCCTGCTGCGGAGTGGTCTTCCGGCAGTTTCCTGCCGCCTTTTAGGGAAGGCCAGCTGTGAGTGGCCCAGCAGTGTGGCCGCTAGAAACACCCTAGTCTGCCAGACTTTATGAAAAGTTCCCTCTGTCCCCGGAGGGCTGCTGTCCACCCCGGGCCGGATCAGGCACCCTTTGCTTTCAGGGAGGAGGGCGTGTCCAACACAGGAGCCGCCGGCGGCTGGAGACACAGATGGGTGCGCGTTGGGGCCTCTCCCTCCATGCTCTTCCCTGAGGTCAGCCCGCCAGACACCCCATCACTTGGAAGTGGGAGCTGAGGCCAAGGCAGGGACCACAAGACTGGGCAGAGCTGAGGCCAGGCCCCAGGTCCCCATACCCTCGGGTGAACTCCTCCGAGGCTGGCTGGGCCAGTGTCGGGAGGCCAGTCCCAGCCCTTCCACGCTGTGGGCTTGAGTGAGCCCCGTGGGGGCATGAAGGTCACCTGCCTCACTCAGCTCAAAGCCCACCTCAGGGTGCCAGCCGATATGCTGCAAAGCCCCCGGAGTGGGTGTCCCAGTGCCACCCAGACAAGGAGGCCTCCCAGATGCCTTTATGGGGCATGAACAGACAGCCCAGGCTCCCAGCCGAGCCCCACCTACTGTCTTGACCGCGGAAGGAAACTCTAGTGCGGAAGGAAAATGATCCTGGGAGGAGGGCGGCCTTCGGGGCTGGGCCCCTCCCGCAGGTCCCAGGCAGCCACCTTCAGCTGTCATTCTGCACCGAGATGGATGGGCCAGTTGCACTAAGCTTTAATGTCTAAGGTTCCCGGGGCAAAACATGCTCGCATTCCACCGGTTGGGCGTAATTGCTGGGCAGTCAGTGTGAATTATAAATTATTTTTCAAAAGAAATGCCTTTTTTATGGCCGGAGGGGATCTAAAACAGCCTGGGCTGGGTCATGGAGCCTGCTGCTCCACCGAGGACGCCCAGCCCCACTCATGAGCAGACACGCTGGCACGTTCCGCTCCACGGCGCCTGGGCATTTCCAACAGAGCCCTCATGTCGCTGGGGAAACCGGCTTGTCCAGGGCACCATAGTGGGCGCAGGAGAACCTTCTACACTGTCTTGGTCTGGTTGGTCTCGGGCCAAGTTAATGACCTGCTGGGCTGTGAGTCCCCCAGCCCTGTTGGGGCTTTTGCCGGGGACAGGGGAGCTTGGGGAGGGGGCAAACAGGACACTTCCATTTAGAACCTCCAAGGTTCTAAAATTGGGAATTGCAGCCTCTTGGGGCTCCCACCCCACCCTCCCCTGGACTGGGCAGTGGGGCGTCCACACATCAGAGTTGCGAGATCAGTGTCACCTGGCTGGGATCCACGTGGCCACACGGGCAGCCATGCCCACCAGGACCATCCTCTCCAGAGTGTAGTCCTGAGATGTGTCGTGCACATGCGCTTTGAACTGTGAGTACCTGCCTGTGTCTCAGAACCGTGCTCAGGGCGCGGGGCTGTGCAAGCTCACCTCTCAGTGTCCTGAGGGGCCCTGGCGGATGGCATAGTACCTGAGCCACTCTGTCTTCTGGCTGCCAGGCACCCAGGGAGGAAGGGCTCAGAGCAGCCAGGCCCCCGAAATTCCTGGTTCTCTCTGTGTGGCGTGGAGCCCCCACCCTGCAGCAAAGCCCATCTGAAAGTGACCCTGTGCCACTGAGCACCAAGACCCGCCGCTGGCTCATGGGGCCGTGGGCATGGTGGCGAGAGCGTGAACTCCATCCAGCTCCGCTCCCTGTCCCTGGGAAGCATGGGCATCACGCAGCTCTCTGAGCTGCCCTTCTCCAACCCAACAGGAGGATGGAGCATGTTGATACCTAGTACAGTGCCGAGCACACAGTGGGTGCTCTGTGGATGCCCCTTCTGCCCCTTCCAGAGGACACAAGATGCTGAGTGTGAGTGGAGATTCAGGGTGACCCTACTGTTTCCAGGCCAGTGTTGAGCCTGGTGATGTGAGCACAATTCTGGAGCAAGACTGACCCATCTCCTGTCCCAGCCCCACCACTGGGGGGCCCAGTGGGCATGATCAGGCCACAACCCTGCCCTAAGCCTCTCTCCCCCACAGAGTGGAGATAATAATAGGGCTACCCAAAGGGGCTGAGGTGCGGGTAAAGGAGAGGACCGCAGGAGGCGCCTGGTACCCAGTGAGCACTCAGCAGTCTTAGCTGTGCTGTTCTCATCACCTCCTGAGAAGAGGAGGAGTCCTGGGCATGGTGGGGCTGCCAAGGACTGGTGCTAGTCAGTGGTCATTGCAGCGGCTCTCACCCCCTATCTGATGATAGGGAAGTCATCTGAGGCTGGCACCCCCTGAAACTCCACGGGAAGCAGACAAGGGACCTTCTGGGCTAAGGTGGAGATGGCCCTGACAGAGTGGTGGTTAGTAGTCAGGGGGGAGGGAGGAGGAGCTCAGGTCAGAGGCATGGAACATGTGCCTAGTTCAGTCACTCTCCTGATAGAGAAACCGAGGCCCAGGGGAAGAGACTGGTCTAAGAGCCTGGGGAGTTATGGGCAGGCTGGGACAGGAATTGGAGTGTGCTGACACTCCTGTGAGGCCTCCTCCATTGTGCTCAGTAAGAACCCCCC